ATAAGAAGTAAATAATCAGATGTATTCAATTATACCTATTACTTTTCATACAGTAGATATAGAGTCACTATCAGTGAATCTATGACACATCTTATTCTGTTGAACACTTGTCGTCTGTATTTATTTGTGTTCTTCTGTTTGATAAAGTTAATTTAAAAAAGAACAGACATATATATAGTTATAGGAATAAGTACATACACACGTCTAAGGACCGGAGTCAGGCAAGGCTGTCTACTCTCTCCTTTCCTCTTTCTTCTGGTGGTCGACTGGATTATGAAGACCTCGACATCTGAGGTAAAACACGGAATGCAATAGACAGCTCAGAACCAATTGGACGATTTGGACTTCGCAGATGACCTAGCCCTCCTATCGCATACACACGAACAAATGCCGATAAAGACATCCAGTGTAGCAGCAGTCTCTGCATCAGTAGGCCTCAATATGCACAAGGGGAAAACCAAGGTCCTCAAACTCAAAACGGAGAACAGCAATCCAATCACTCTTGATGGTGAAACTCTGGAAGATGTGGAATCCTTCACATACCTGGGAAGCATCATCGATGAACAAGGAGGTTCAGATGCAGACGTAAGTGCGAGGATTGGCAAGGCAGGAACCGCATTCCTACAATTGAAGAACATATGGAACTCAAAACAAATTTCAACCAATATCAAAGTGAGAATCTTCAATACGAATGTCAAGGCAGTTCTACTGTACGGAGCTGAAACTTGGAGAACTACAACAACCATCATCAAGAAGGTACAAGTATTTATAAATGGTTGTCTACACAAGATACTCAACATCCATTGGCCGGATACCATTAACAACAGCCTACTGTGGGAGAGAACAAACCAGTTTCCACCTGAAGAATAAATTAGGAAAAGACGTCGGAAGTGGATAGCACATACATACACCAAACTGCATCATGAGGCAAGCGCCAACTTGGAATCATGAAGGGAAACGGAAATGATGAAGGCTGAAGAACACACTACGTCGGGAAATAGAATCAGATATGAAAAGGATGAATAACAATTGGAAAGATCTGGAAAGGATTGCCTAGGACAGTGTTGGATGGAGAATGCTGGTGAGCGGCCTATGCTCCTTTACGAGGAGTAACAGGCGTAAGTAAGTAATATTATTGATGTATGGTTGAAAATGATAATGACTGGTTGTTTGTTAAGTCAGACTTTCCGATAGTCTGACAAGAGTTAGATGATTTATATATTATCCTATCCTTACAATTATTGGATTGTGTCGGAGTGATATCAGTTTTTGGTATGGAAATATATTTACGTTCTAGTCAGGCTAATTATCACATGTTCTTGATCTGAATTGTGTTGAAGTCCTGTAGAAAGAATAGACACTAGTAGGGAATCTAATATACATATATATATTTATCTAAGGTAAAGTGACGTCCCATTCGTAAAGGCAAAGTAAAACCAACCGTTATCACAATTATAAAAAAAATATCAGCAAAGATTGTTGTAAAACGTTTTGTTGATTAGAGAAAATGTTGTTGTCAATTCTTATTTTGTTTTTGTTTTCTTTGTAAAGTTAAATAAACAATCGTGAAATTTGATTTTTGTTGATTGTTAAGTGTAAACAAAGTGTTAATATTTACATTATATTAACCTACTATTATTAGTGTTCTGTTATGTCATCATTGTCTTTTCATTGTTTATGTCTTATCATGTAATCAATACTTAAAATTTTGTGTAAATATATATCTAAATGTATCCTGGAGATTATGGTTCACACTAACAAGGACGTTAGTAGAAGAGAGTATGAAACAATGCACGCTTAAAAAGGTTGTACAATAATAAGGGTGGATATCGAAAGGCCGACCATTAAAAGGGTGTGTGTTGATAAAGATGAACATAGAAAGTTACTTACTTACCTATCCCTGTTACCTATCGTCGAGGAACATAGGCCACCCACCACCCTTTCCAATTTTTTCCAGTTGTTATTCATCATTTTCATATCTGATTCTATTTTCCAACGTAATGTATTCTTTGACCTTTCTACTTTCAGTTTCCCTTCAGGATTCCAAGTTAGCGCTTACCTTATGATGCAGTTTGATGATTTCCGTAATGCATGTCCTATTCACTTCCAACGTCTTTTCCTAATTTTGTCTTCAAATGGAAGCTGGTCTGTCCTCTCCTATAGTAGGGTGTTTCTGGTGATTTTCGGCCAATGGACATCGAGTATCTGGCGTAGAAAATTTTTTATACATAAATGTACTTTTTTGATGATGGTTGTGGTATTTCTCCAAGTTTCATCTCCATACAGTAGGACTGTCTAGATGTTCGTATTGAAGGTTTTTACTTCGATATTGGTTGAACATGGAAAGGAGAAATAAAATTTTTAATAGTGTATGTGTCTTCGATCCGACCTTTGTCCCTCTGTTTTATGACGAATCAAAGAAGTCGTTATCTTAACGTCTAATGAGATGTCTTATTCTTATTATTCATTCTCAATCCAGGAGATTGGATCGATGGGCAGAACACTTTAGGGATCAGTTAACTGGCCTTCAGCCACACTTCGGTTTCCCACGATCTCCACTCAACCTGAATGGCAAGTTGATGTAAATCCTGCAACTTTTTACAAAGTTGAAAAAGCTATGGGAAATCTGAAGCATGGGAGAGAAGCAGGACCTGACAGGTTTACCTTTGAGATTTTTAAGGATGGCGGTTCAGTATTAGCAGTGAGATTGACTGAGATCTTAGGTAGAATCTGGGAACTGGATGCAATCCCATCTGACTGATCTCAATCACTGATTGTGCCAGTCTATAAGAAAGGACAAAAGTCATCCTGTGACAATCACAGAGGAGTCAGTTTGACCAATATTGTGTCTAAAATATTAGCTTCAATAATACTTCGACGCCTAACCAATGCTCGTGAATAGCAGATTAGAGGAAACCAGACTATTTTTCGACCTGGACGTGGTTGTATAGACCAAATATTCACACTACGTCAGGTCCTAGAACATAGACACACATTCAGACATCCGACAATAGTGGTATTTCTCGACCTTAAGGCGGCATTCGATCGTGAGGTTCTATGGCAATGTTTGTTTCTGATCCTTTATATAATAGATCAAGTTCCAACAATTCATCTTTAACAAAAGGCGGCCCAACTTAATATCTGGGGTGACTGTCCGTACCATCTAGATATTTCAACAAGTTATATGTTTCCTTATTTGTTCTGACATATCATTATGTCAATTAATTGCATAACCTATTCAAGTGTGTTTGTGAAAAGTTTACGACCTTTCGCTGTACAAATTACAAAAAAGTACAATCAGAGACATTGTGGTGGATGTCAATATGCATCGAAAAGAATGTACATTATTCAAATTTCTATTCCTGAACTGCTAACATTTAACTGGCGATCACCCAATATTTACCATCTGGATCGACCAAGTAATAGGAAACGGAAACTTGTTGAAACATTTTGTGCTGAGAATTCTATATTGTACCAAAATTATAATATCGAATAAAATCACTAATAGTAATAATAATAATAATAATAATAATAACAGTAGTAAGAATAATAATGGTCATAATAGTAGTAGTAGTAGTAGTGTGGTGTGTGCCACTTATATTGACATAAGTAGTATATAACAATAGTCAGGATTAGAATATCTGGCAGAAGAAGGTGGAGAAGGAAAGAACGGGAACAGAAAACGATTGATATGAAAATGCAAAAAGAATGAAGTCTGAGATGATTGACTGATAAATGCGAAAGGGACAGTCAAGTTTAATACAACTGATTGATATTTTTCAAATTAAGTATTCACTGTATAGTTCTCTGATTTTACTAAGATGTGATGTAGTTTTGTATCCAAATGCATTCGATCATCAGTATAGGGTTGTGGAGATTATTAAGTTTTTGATTGAGATCATGGACCGATTGATGTTAGAGCACCATTGAAAACCTAGAAGCACTGGATGGCCGTTTCGTCCTATTGTGAGACTCTTCAGCAGTGTGCAATCGCGATCCTACCCACGTGATTCGAACCCAGAATCTTCAGTGTCGCGCTCGAATACTTAACCTCTAGACCACTGAGTCGGCATCCAACGGTGTTATTGTCTAACCTCAACTAATCCACTCTCTTGCGAGACCATCTTCTAAAATAATGAGGTAGATACCTGTCTCTACCCGACACAGATTAGCTCCACTGGTCACGGACTCTTACTAGAACTCCGAGAATTCTCTCACGAAGTTATTCCCTAGTGAGCACATGATCATTATCATTATAGGGTTGTAAAGATTATCAAGTTTTTGATTGAGATCATTAACCGATTGACGAAAAGGCCATCCAGTGCTTCCAGGTTTTCAATGGTGGTCTAACATCAATCGTTTCATAATCTCAATGAAAAATATACGATTATCCCCACTTATGATTCCGTTCACAACAGTAGTATCAATAATAATAATAATAATAATAATAATAATAACAGTAATACTGTAATGAACAAGAACATGAGTGGGGAAAAATGAATGTATTTAACACGAAATTATAGTGTATCTCAACAAGATATCAATCCATCATCTCAAACTACACTGTACCTTTTGAAAATATCAGTCCATTGTGTCAGATTTCATTGTCCATGCATTTTCATATTAGTTGCGTTCCGTTTCCTTTCCTTCCTTACCGACCTTCTGCTGAAATACATTCTATGCCTGACCACCATCATATACTACTTATATGGATATAAGTAGCCCACACCACACCGCAATACTAATAATAGTAATAGTAATCATACTAACTATAACAGTACATTATACAAAATGAATTCGTTCCAAGTTAAATAACATGATAATAACAATCAATGTAAATATGAACTAACATTTATTTATTTATTCATTCTTTTGTTTAATTATCCATATATATAAATATCATATTTCAATGTACTCAATATGAAATTACTTTACAAATATTATTCAATAATTAACCCTATAAATACCTTAGTAATTCATCTGTTAGATATTACCTCATTATGTTGACTAAATTCATATTGATTTTTGTATCTGTATTCATAGGGATTGTGACATTAGACAGTTGTCAAGGTAAGTCAAAACACTATTGATACATTGAAAAATTTTTCTATTGACAAACATTATACTTTATCAATTAGGGAACAAACAAGATGATGAGATCAGAATTAAACATTCATAATGATTATGACTTATTAGATAGACTTAAAATACATAGTATAATGATGTACTGACATTGTGATGTGGGTTACTTATATCCATATAAGTAGTATATGATGGTGGTCAGGCATAGAAGATATTTCAGTAGAAGGTCGAGAAGGAAAGAACGGGAACGGAAGGCAATTAATATAAAAACGCAAGAAGAATGAAATCAGAGACGATGGACTGGTATTTTGCAAATTAACTATTTACTATATGGTTCTCAGATTTTAATGCGAGGATCTGTAATTTCGTGTCAAATATATTCGATTTTCCCTACTCCTGCTCTTCTTCATTACAGCGCAACTAGGTATCATTTCAATGTCTATAAAGTTCTTAGTACTATATAGGTTGAAGTTTATTAATAATATTCCTACTGTTATAGAATGGTTATAAAATTATTCGTTTTGTTATCCATCTATTTGTTTTGAATTCAAACAGATAAATAGTATAAATAAGTATATTAGTAATATCCAAATAAGTAGAAAAATTAGATTTTCTGACGTTTCGTAACTTAGTTTAAGTCACCTCTTCAGAGTAAATAACTAACCGAATCAAAATTAATTCAAGTACAATGGAACAGTACAAGAATATTAAGTGAGATCAATAAAAAAACCCAGGTCTAAACAAGTCAATGTCATGTCATTTCACTCAAAGTGATTCATAAGTAACATGTATACAAATTTGTGTGTATGTATGTCTGCATTGTTAAGGATGAAAAATGTGTGACCCTGATAGTGAGAAAGGATAGAGTTTAATTTGTAAGATAATAGTGTGAATTGTGAATAATATCAGACTAGCTGGATAGTGGTTGGAGGTAGTTGACAGGAGATCCTGAACCCGGGTTTCGTGCTGCTTGGCACTCGTCAACAAGGTGTACCTGTAATCTTGAGGGAACTGGTGCTCCCTGGCGGATTCAATCCCGTGTCACCTAGCTTCACAGTCAGAGACGTTACCACTGAGCCATCCGAGCCGCGACCGACCTCCTGTAGGACCGAGATGTAATCACAATTGGTTCATCACTGGGTGGTGACCAATGTCATGTGTGTCAAGTCCTTATTAATGCAGATCGAATGCTATCGACCGTGTTGCAATGTGGCCATCAGTCTAGGTGACTCGACACTGCGGGCACTGTTGTGAAATTAGATGGTGGTTGGAGGTAGTCGACAGGACTAGCTGGTTAGGATAGATAGTCCAAGTAGGATGTATGGTAAGACCTTCTTTTCTATTGAGAGAAGTAGGGTTAAGTATTATATAGATTGCAATATTTTGATATTTTTGAAATCGATTTGGTGGTCGTTGAAAATAGTATATTTAGCTCTAAAATAATAAACATACTTCAAAGCTTAGAACATAGTTAATGAGAGATTAGGGATTCAAGTGTAAGACCAATGATCCTGAACTCTATTCCGGGTTGTATGGTCGTGGATGAGTACTTCTGAGGATACCCATACAATGTTAAGACAGTTGTCTGGTGTTTACAATTTTTCAGCAGTTAATTAAGTTAGATAATCATGTGATTTTGATGAAATTTAATAGTTACGACAATTCAGTAGACCATACCATGAAATTCACTCAGAATTTGACTATCTGTCTTATAAATTAGTGAGTTACTTTCAACTTGATTGTTACCATCATTTGAATATATTTTTATGGACTCACTTGGTATTGTTTACTTGAATCTTCCCATTGATGTTTAAAAACTGCAATTGATCAGTTTCTTATTGGCATATGTGTATACTGTGCTTGTTGCTTGCAGTGGAATCCAGGACGCAAGTTCCATAGTGAACATCAACTCTGAGATCCAAGTACATTCGACTGACGAGTCCCGAATAGGAAAAACGCGTGTTCTGAACTCCATGGCTAGCCACCAACCATCTTTGCTTATAATGCTTGTGAATTGAGGCAATATTGAGACAATCCTTACAGGATGTACATATGCTAGTAAGAAACTGATCAATTACGGTTCTAAACATCCATGGGAAGATTCAAACAACCAATACAAAATGAATTTAAACTTCACTCCATTGCATAAGCTAGTGGCTATCAGGACTGAGTAGCTAAGTGGATAACGAGATGGCATTTGAAGCGAATGGTAATGGTTTCGAGTCCCAGAGTGAACGTCAACTCTGGACGAAACCGGTGTCGTAAATTCCATGGCTAGCCACTATTGATCTTTGCATGTTATTTTTATGAATACTATATTTGTTATATAAAAATTTACTAGCGTATTAACTTCTTATTGACAACTATTTTGTTTTTCACATGATATTGAAATACATTTATAATTTACATACGTTTTTATGTGTAGGTCAAAGAGATGCACCGAGGTATTTCCAGTGAGTAGAATGTCTGGGTTCTATTTATTTAAATGATTTATTGAAATTTCTTCTGTAAATAATTGTTATTATACGCTAACATTTACTTATTTCATCAAATAGGTGTCTTGCTTAAAGCTTTTTCTTTTGTGATTCAAATTAGAGTCAGCTTGATGATGGAATAAACGCATTCAGTATGTGATTGAGATCATGAACCGATTGATGTTAGAACACCACTAAAAACATGGAAGCTCTGGACGACCGTTTCGCCCTATTGTGGGACTCCTCAGCAGTGTGCATCCATGATCTCGCTCCACGGGATTCGAATCCAGGATCTCTGGTGTCGCGCGCGAACGCATAAACTCTAGACCACTGAGCCTACATCCAATGGTGTTAACGTCTAACCTCAACCAATCCACCCACTTGCGAGGCCATCTTCTATTGTACTGAGGTAGATACCTGTCTCTACCTGACACTGATTAATCAGTAATCAGTATTAAATAAATAGATAGCTCAACATTTAAGTGTAGGATACATGGTTCATGGGTTAATTAATGCGATTCTAAATATATATGACTGAAGTTTACGTATTAAGTCAAGTGAACTTGTTTGTCATTTATATTTGATGGTCATTTAATAAAGCAATTTAAACACACACACACACACTGAACTACAAATCTTCTCCACCATCTCAAAACACACTGTTAGGTATGCAGAGGAATATACCAATAATTATCGTGTTAAGTCGAATGGTGTCCTTGGACTTGAAATGTACATTACCTATTGGTCGATATTTATTTCACTTGTTAAATATTGTGTAAATGTTGTTTTCTATTTTATGGTACGATGTGGTCTGTTTGATTAGTATATAAACAGAGTGTTTGAAATATAATGATTCATATCTCAGAGGCTGTGACTCAACTGGCTGGGATAGACAGCGAGGCAGGTCCAATCGGGACTCTAGGTCGTTCATTACGTGTTTACTTGCCACCGAATCGATCGATATAAATGCTGCTCCATCAAAACCTGCAGTCCACCCGTTACAAAACACACATTGTGTACTACAGTGTTTAAGGGTAATTGAAATGATTGTATAATAAAAGGAAGCTCTCTTTTCTTAACAATCAGAGATTATATTTAACATATGACTGGTAGTAGAGCCCAGGATGAAATTTTCGGTCCTATTTTGAAACTCGTTAGCCGAATGTATTGAATTTCAGTGTTTATTTATTAGCTTAGACTATTTAAACCATTGATTGTTAAATCGATCACAACGCTAGTAATACCTTCCACGATTAGCAAAATATCCACAAAAACCCCTTTCTAATATTAACCAGCATATGCTCACTAGTGACTGGCTTCAAGAGATATTTCCTGAAGTTCTAGTAAGAAGTCGTGACCAGTGGAGTTCAACCATGTCTGTTGTGAGATAGTAACTCACTGAAGACGATGGTGGACGTGTGGCTCAATTCTGTGGATTGTTTGAAGTAAGACATTAACACCGTTAGATGGTAGTCGGCTCAGTGGTCTATGGGTTAGGCGTTCTTGAGCTAGGCCGATAGGTCCTGGGTTTGAATCCCGTGGGGCAGGATCGTAGATGAGCACTGCTGAAGTGTACCACAGTAGGACGAAACAATCGTCCAGTGTTTCCAGGTTTTTTGCATAGTTGTCTAGGTTCAATTGACTCATGATCTCAACTGTTAAATTACAGTACAGTTTGAATGACATTAGAAACTTCAAGCAAAATCATTATGATTGTTTAAAGTATGATTTTTATAGTTTTTTTAAATTATTCAATTTTTATTCAAAGTAAAACCAACACTACTATTAAACAGTAAGTTAGAAATGTTAATAACTGGATGATTCCATTGAATTCTTTATTCCAAATAATCAGTATACTTTAGTTAGTTATAGTAACTTTTCTACAGTCCATTTCGGTTACGGTTAAATGTTGGTTAAGCCCTTTTATTAACTTATTGAATAGACCATATTATTCGAACAGTAACCATTCTCGTATTTCTTTGTACTACTATGATCACTATCTTGTTTGTACAAACGTGTACTGTTGATCACATGGGAGACTCTAGCTAAAATGTTGATCGCTTAAATCTTACTCAATCAGTCATATTCATATTCCGATGTTTATATATGTACTCGAATTCTATTAATAACACTTGCTTTGCCTTGCTATTCGTTTATTCGATTTGACTATAAGTTTACCTTTGTATTTGCTCGCATACACACACATACATTCGCCTCTCTGCATCAAATTCGCTTGATTTGCTTATAGCTTTTTCATTTGTGCTATTCGCTAATAAATTGTAGTCGCCGCTTCCTATTGCCACTTTCTGAGTTCAAACACCGTTGGAATCTATGTAGTAACGATTACAAGGGTGATTGATGGATGAAGCGAAGCCACTACACATTGACTAATATATTTACAAGAATATATAACCATATTGAAGAATATGTATTTATATACATATATAACCTCTGAAGTTGACATTACAATCAAGCATTAATGACTATAACAATATTTATGTTTCGATAAAATACAGATTGAAATGTGACCTTATTCAATTACTGAAGTAGTGACTGATTGATATCAATAAGTATGAAACTTCGATCAATTCAGTTCTATCATTCCATATTCAAACATCTTAAAAAGTTCTGAAAGAATTCTTAGTCACTTGGTTTAATGGTGACATTGTAGTATCATTGAAAGATAGCATTCAGTTTGTAGTGATATGGTGGTGTACGCTACACATGTCAATAAATATAACTAGTATGTAACACTAGTTGGGATTGGAAAACCTGGCAGCAGCAGCAGCAGCAGCAGGCTAAGAAGATCGAGTTGAAGAGATTAGACTGGAATTTGGCGAATCATACAGAATGTGAAGGACAAATGATGGAAATTTGTCAAATAGAGTATTTAATGTATGGTTACCATATTTTACCAAGAGATTTTGTAATTCGATATCAAAATACATCGATTGTCTCCAGATGACTTCTCATTCATTACAGTATGATCATGATTGGATAACATAACATGATTCCATGTTAATTATTCACTCGTTCATTTTAATCCCACTTCTCAATGTGTATGGAACAACTTAGCGCTACAAAATTATTTGGACATGATACCTCAATAGTATTTGCATTAATATGATTTCAGGACAAGTAATAAATAAATTAAAGCTGGTTATATTCACTTAATAGATTGAGTATAAAATGAATGTTACTTGATTATAATTGAATTAGCTAGGACGTGACAACTGATCATTGGAGTGTTAGGTAACACAAGAGAAAACTAATAATAAATACATGTGTCTTTTATATCCCAATGGGGAGGAAAAGTATAATCCTGACGTTTCGCAACTTAATATAAGGTGCTTCTTCAGAGTAAATAAATAACTATAAAGAAGTGGTTTACATTGAGTTACGAAACGTCAGAAATACAATTTTTCTACTCATTGGGATATAACAAACTAAATGCATTTATTATAAGCCTTTTATTCAATGCTCAATTTATTTGAAACTATCAAGTTCAACACTGGCATTGATACCTATATACCAGTGAAAACTGTTAATGATAACTAGTCGACGTAAGTATATAAACTTGTCTTTCAAATGGGTAAAATCCACTACTGAGCGTTGATTCACAGAGTCCTACATTTTTATATTCAATTATTTTCTAACCTCAATCAATCGACGAAATTGCATGATCATCTTCCATTGTCTGAGGTTAATACTGTCTCTAACTAACACACATTAGCTCCACTGGTCATGAATTCACACTAGAACTCCGAGAATTCTCTCACGAAGCAAGTTACTAGTGCGCAGATGATGATTATTAACAGTAAATGGTTTTTGAAATTTTTAGGTTTTTGATTGACAAACAACCATCCAGTGCTTCCAGATTTTCAATGGTGATCTAACATCAATCGACTCTTGATCTCAATCATAAACTTAACAATCTCCACATTCCTATACTGTCAAATTCTAATTCTTGATTTTAGCCTGGTTTTAATTGTATTACAATGATAATTATAGGAACGATTACATAGTAACATAAAGATTTATCTTTTAAAATATCAATCACTTGGATAAATAATGACTAAATTAGTTTAAGCATAAACGATACAATCGTAACATCACCGTAACAATTATAAGTTTGCTATTGAAGAAATTTCACCGATTGAAATCATGAGTTAATTGAAGCTAGATCATCATGAAAAACCTGAAACCATTGGACGGCCGTTTCGTCCTAGTATGGAACTCCCCAACAGTGCACATCCACGACCCTGCACCCCGCGAGACCCGAACCCAGGACCTACCAGTCTTGCGCCAGGCGCTTAACCAACTAGACCACTGAGCCGACCGGCATCCAACGCCGTTAGTGTCTAACTTTAACCAATCCACGAAGTTGCGCCACCGTACACCATTGTCTTCAGTGAGTTGATATCTCACAACAGACATGGTTGAAGAAATGTAAATAACATGTTAACCAGTCAGTGCGTTATATTTAAAAACAGTGTGAAAGAAGAAACTTGAGAACTTTACAGATCATATTACAAATACATAAAACAAACAAGAAGAAAACTTATATTATCGACTAAATAAACATTGAAGGATAATATTGATCATTTAATGAATTACAGATCATTAGTAGATGATTAATAATCAACCAAATTAGAAAAAATTTCATTCATATGCTTATCATGAATACATTACATGAAATCATTCTCACTGATCATTTCAGCCCAACTACTCATGATGTGCAAACGAGGTAAGTACTGTGAATTCACAAGATATTACTTTTATTACCATAACTTGTTAGTAGTATATACTAAAATGAAGAAAGACAAAAAAAAACTTAAAGAAAGCAAAATAAAACGCAAAATTCAACTTAATAAAAAATAAAAACACAATGAAAAGGAAAACGAATACAGAATACAGTACAAAATCTTAGTGAAAGATTCTACACACAAACAACAATCTCATGTGCCTCATATAGATTTCCGAATACACGTTCAACTGATCACATCTCAAATTCACCGGCCAGCACCATTCAATCTGTAGCAACATGTTGATTGCAATCACACACATCACATTGTAACTCATTCTCAATATTATTGATCATTATTATTGTTATTGTCATTACTGTCATTACTCTCATTATTCCACAAACTGTTCGATTAATGGAACATACTCATCAATTTTAATACACACTTCATTTAGGACTCACCACACCGCAACAACAACAGCAGCAGCAGCAGCAAAAACAACTGCAAGGTAAGTAAAATGCATTCACACGTATCAAATATGACAGTCTTCTATTTTCATTCACTACAATAAACAATACTAAGTAATCAGTGTATATTTGAATCAATAAGAATTATCATGTCACACATTTACAACGATCAATACGATGAATCCACGAACTGTAAACGTTCAATTCACAACTACATGGAACAAGCATCAAGGTCCTCATGTCTGACAAACGAACGCATTGAGGAGTATTGTTGTTAGATTTTTACAGAACGAGTGTTGATTATCAGATACCTGGAAACTGACAGACAGACAGACAGACATACAGACAGACGAATAAAATTCGTCCACACAATTCTGTCATTCATCATCAACAATCTAACACAATTCACAATGATGTTCATTCACTTGATTCATAAGTGATCATATCGTCAATTCGTCAGACGACTTCGTCCAACACATACTAGTACTGTGAATGTATAACATGCAGACTATTATTTTCATGAACCCATTGCGCGTTTTCGTTTAGGCATTACCATGTGACCTCAACTCCAAGGTAAGTACACAGTTCTACATGTAATAACATGATGGTGTATTGTTCCATTTCTACTCAAATAACCATCAATCAAACAGTGTAGTTACATCAACAATAATTGATATGTTGAGAAGAAGCTATTGGTGAAGCAGAACTAGCTGTTCGAATTTGAACTGTGTTCAATAAACTATAAGAATTTCCAATTCTCAACATCACACAGATTAACATCGTCAATGCATAACATGACACTGATTTTCAACATTTAACCGACTATTGTAGAATCATCTCAATTTCTAACTACTAAATAATAATCTAAGATGTCGAATAGGTGATTGCAACAACATTTTGTGCTTTATTTTTGCACGGACATCTGATCGTTCATGTTGAACATTGTATATTGAATATTTACTTGTTTAGTTTCCCTGTCACATGTCGAACTATCATTCTCCTGAATTTTAACACATTTCATTCAGATATTACACTACACCGAGGACTGCACTGTAAGTAGTTCATATTTACCTGTATTTACTGACACAATTACAACCAGTGTCGACGTTCTGATAGACAGTAGAATGTCAACCGGTCAGTGTGCTTTACTTGTTCACTGTGCTCTCGCGATTGTAATGATGTATTGGGAAAGAGATAGTTGTCAACTGGACATGCTCACACTTCAACTAATCATACATTGGAACGTACATGAGGACGGTCTCGTAGCCACTAAACACACAAGTGAAAGCTGATGTGAAACATGCTAAATAATGCTTCTGAGACTTTCGCCATTCACATAACTACTACTACTGACATTAGATCACGACTGAATTCAACATGTGCACGAATGATAACATTGTTGAATATGTAACACCGCAGTACTAGTGGTAGTGTATACATCCAAGTTGCAGTAAGAACGAGTAGGTAGTGATATGGATGGTATTAGGTATTGTATTGCATCATTCACTTCAAACCATCTTACACAATTCAGAGTGAATTTCCAGTCAAATCATCCATCGGTCACATCACAACCATATCGATTGATAACACTGTTTTAATTGTGGTGAATTCACCATAGGATAGCATGAAATAATTCATGTCAATCGTTCACTCTCTCATTTCAGACACACTGTTCATCCCACACGAAAAACGTAAGCATTTCTAAATAACTTGTATGTGATATATCGGTAGGATCTGTACTGATGTATTTCAAATAATCGTGTTGTAAATAATTTGTGACAGTCGTATCTATTTAGTTCACTCAATGTAACATCCCAGCTGATTGATTCCATTGTCCTCTCAATTCAACATATATAATGCGTGTGTGTTTGTATGTGATGATTACTAGTGATTTTCATAGAATAACATGAGTTCATTTCAGTCTGTTCGGTTATCGTCACCTGGTTACAATCCATAAAGTGTTAATAGAAGATATGTCACAAAAATCAGCACATACTTATTCCAGTGAAATTGGTCAAATGTGAATACAGTTGAGCATGTGTTAGAGCATTGTTTGTGATCAAGTGAATGTAGTTGAGAAATATAACACTGCTCGGAAATGAATTCACCGTGTGACAGAATATCCCAGTACATGGAATGTGGTAATGAAATACTATATAGCTAAAGGATTGATTGACCATCCAGTGAATTGGATGAACACCAGTTAATGGTGATTGCGATTAACATGAGTTGCGACTAGTCAGTTTGTAAAGAGTTCATAAATCTCGGTGAAATGAAGGCAGAGGAATTCAAATAAATGAAGTAGTCGTGTAAATGACGTAGCAACATGACGGTAATATCATCGTGATAAGATAAGAAACATTCAACACATTTTCTTCTTGAATACACAAATTTTGTTTGACAAGTTTGTTTGTCACATCTTCAGAAGATGTAAGAGGAGTAGAGTTCGATTGTTGGTTTATCACCTTTAAACATCTAGTCATGTCAACTCGATGTCCAACTGATGTCAAGTTGGTGTTTTGAAAGTTCACTACTGAAGATCAATAATCAGTGTAGACTAAGACTATGTAGAACTTGTATTGCAAACTAGCTGTTATCCACTACTTCTATTCTACCAATTAAGCCAGCTCCACTGATAGATGCTTACATGTCTACACACTCAGTTGGCAATAATATGAATGTGGTAATCACAGATCTCGAATTGTAGTCGAAACACGTTGTTTTGTGTGAGATAATCAGTTTGGCTGTAACATGGACACGTCTCGATCGGTGCCGTTTCCGATTTTCGGTTTATTGTTGATGCAATGTTGTCACCGTTAAAACCAGGTCGAATAAGAGTGGGAACTCTGTCGACTGTATTTTGTTTGTCGTTTTGGTCGTAACAGTTTCAGCATTTCTCATTGAAATTTCGTGAACATTCGTTCTTCCTTAGACGTGATCTCACTCTCATTAGTTGAGCTTCCTGTGTGAGTATCTGTAGTACTATGCTCTCTGATCTGTGATATGGAGTTTTTGTAAGTTCCATGTAGTAACTATTTGGAAGAACAATGTTGAAGTGTAGATCAACTGCACTCCTTGTGTCTATTCAATAAACTGAACATCGAATGTGCCACACTGTTTACTGAATTACGATAAACATACACTGCAAATGATCTTCTTCTACACGTTGTACGAGTCCTTCGAGCTCTGATACTGGTAGAAGTGGGAGGTCAGAATTCACAGAAATATGTCTGTGGTTTGAAGAAGATGTATTTTTGTGAGCAAGGATGTTGTGTCAAGAGAAACAATCGATTCATCAGAAATGATTATCTGATTCGTTCTGTGAACAGACTGAAAACAGCTTGTTAATATACAGGATTAGCTAATCGATGACAAACCGGTTACAATCACTCTGATAGACAGTGTGTGAAATTGTGTTCATGTGAATCGGAGACGTATATGAATCCCTATTCGACCTTACATTTGTGAAATGGTGAAAACTGAGGTTCTGTAATAGTGTCACGTGTTGTTTGCACAAAATTCTCGACTGTGTTGTAGGTGACATCATGTGGCGGATGACGACGTCAACCAGTTGGATTTCAAATAATTCTTCTTCTTCTTTATCTACTTCTTGTTCTAATTCTTCTTCTTCTTCTTCTTCTTCTTCTTCTTCTTCTTCTTCTTCTTCTGGGTTTTCTCCTTCTTCTCCTATTCACACTCAAACTGCAAATATTTCAATTACTCAAATGAATTTTCCGACAGTGTTATTCTATCTTTCCTGTTGTTAAGTGTATTGACTGTGTGAGATCACAAGTGTAGCGATAGATCTCCATCACCCACTTGATACAGATTTACATTTGATGAGTTGCAAGTGAATTTCACTGAGTTTTATCATAATCCTACATGTGAATATCCCTGGGAGAGAGACCATGACTAAGCAGCATTGAAATCCTAGAACAATTTGCTCTCAATTCCTCAATCAAGTCAATCAGTCCAAATACACAGACGAAATTCGATTCATCGACCACTTTTGCAAAGACAATGATGTTCGAATTCAAATATGCAATAAGTAATTTCACTGAATCAACTTGAAACTTCATGCATAGTCTGAGATGTGTTGAAGACGTTGTATTGATCAGAGGGTCCAAACAATCGACCAATCGTTCCATTCACAAACAACAATCTCATGTGCCTCATATAGATTTCCGAATACACGTTCAACTGATCACATCTCAAATTCACCGGCCAGCACCATTCAATCTGTAGCAACATGTTGATTGCAATCACACACATCACATTGTAACTCATTCTCAATATTATTGATCATTATTATTGCTATTGTCATTACTGTCATTACTCTCATTATTCCACAAACTGTTCGATTAATGGAACATACTCATCAATTTTAATACACACTTCATTTAGGACTCACCACACCGCAACAACAACAGCAGCAGCAGCAGCAAAAACAACTGCAAGGTAAGTAAAATGCATTCACACGTATCAAATATGACAGTCTTCTATTTTCATTCACTACAATAAACAATACTAAGTAATCAGTGTATATTTGAATCAATAAGAATTATCATGTCACACATTTACAACGATCAATACGATGAATCCACGAACTGTAAACGTTCAATTCACAACTACATGGAACAAGCATCAAGGTCCTCATGTCTGACAAACGAACGCATTGAGGAGTATTGTTGTTAGATTTTTACAGAACGAGTGTTGATTATCAGATACCTGGAAACTGACAGACAGACAGACAGACATACAGACAGACGAATAAAATTCGTCCACACAATTCTGTCATTCATCATCAACAATCTAACACAATTCACAATGATGTTCATTCACTTGATTCATAAGTGATCATATCGTCAATTCGTCAGACGACTTCGTCCAACACATACTAGTACTGTGAATGTATAACATGCAGACTATTATTTTCATGAACCCATTGCGCGTTTTCGTTTAGGCATTACCATGTGACCTCAACTCCAAGGTAAGTACACAGTTCTACATGTAATAACATGATGGTGTATTGTTCCATTTCTACTCAAATAACCATCAATCAAACAGTGTAGTTACATCAACAATAATTGATATGTTGAGAAGAAGCTATTGGTGAAGCAGAACTAGCTGTTCGAATTTGAACTGTGTTCAATAAACTATAAGAATTTCCAATTCTCAACATCACACAGATTAGATGTGATGTGATGTGTCAATGATGCATCAGTGAATGAGTGTCACTGAACAGACAACTATCAACAATGAAGCATAATTTTGATGGAGTTTTGTTTTCTGAGCTGGATAGATTAACTGTGGAGATTTCAACTTTCCTGTGAATGACTTCTTCAGCGCAGATTCCCTCAACATTATCACTCCGATTCAACCATCTGACAAAATTCGCGATCACCTTCAATCACTCTATTCTATAGCATTTGCCACATCACAAATTCCTACATCTGTGCCGCACGATTTGTAGTAACATCGTCAATGCATAACATGACACTGATTTTCAACATTTAACCGACTATTGTAGAATCATCTCAATTTCTAACTACTAAATAATAATCTAAGATGTCGAATAGGTGATTGCAACAACATTTTGTGCTTTATTTTTGCACGGACATCTGATCGTTCATGTTGAACATTGTATATTGAATATTTACTTGTTTAGTTTCCCTGTCACATGTCGAACTATCATTCTCCTGAATTTTAACACATTTCATTCAGATATTACACTACACCGAGGACTGCACTGTAAGTAGTTCATATTTACCTGTATTTACTGACACAATTACAACCAGTGTCGACGTTCTGATAGACAGTAGAATGTCAACCGGTCAGTGTGCTTTACTTGTTCACTGTGCTCTCGCGATTGTAATGATGTATTGGGAAAGAGATAGTTGTCAACTGGACATGCTCACACTTCAACTAATCATACATTGGAACGTACATGAGGACGGTCTCGTAGCCACTAAACACACAAGTGAAAGCTGATGTGAAACATGCTAAATAATGCTTCTGAGACTTTCGCCATTCACATAACTACTACTACTGACATTAGATCACGACTGAATTCAACATGTGCACGAATGATAACATTGTTGAATATGTAACACCGCAGTACTAGTGGTAGTGTATACATCCAAGTTGCAGTAAGAACGAGTAGGTAGTGATATGGATGGTATTAGGTATTGTATTGCATCATTCACTTCAAACCATCTTACACAATTCAGAGTGAATTTCCAGTCAAATCATCCATCGGTCACATCACAACCATATCGATTGATAACACTGTTTTAATTGTGGTGAATTCACCATAGGATAGCATGAAATATTTCACGTTAATTGTTTACCCGTTCATTTCAGACACTCTACTCATCCCACACGAAAAACGTAAGCATTTCTAAATAACTTGTATGTGATATATCGGTAGGATCTGTACTGATGTATTTCAAATAATCGTGTTGTAAATAATTTGTGACAGTCGTATCTATTTAGTTCACTCAATGTAACATCCCAGCTGATTGATTCCATTGTCCTCTCAATTCAACATATATAATGCGTGTGTGTTTGTATGTGATGATTACTAGTGATTTTCATAGAATAACATGAGTTCATTTCAGTCTGTTCGGTTATCGTCACCTGGTTACAATCCATAAAGTGTTAATAGAAGATATGTCACAAAAATCAGCACATACTTATTCCAGTGAAATTGGTCAAATGTGAATACAGTTGAGCATGTGTTAGAGCATTGTTTGTGATCAAGTGAATGTAGTTGAGAAATATAACACTGCTCGGAAATGAATTCACCGTGTGACAGAATATCCCAGTACATGGAATGTGGTAATGAAATACTATATAGCTAAAGGATTGATTGACCATCCAGTGAATTGGATGAACACCAGTTAATGGTGATTGCGATTAACATGAGTTGCGACTAGTCAGTTTGTAAAGAGTTCATAAATCTCGGTGAAATGAAGGCAGAGGAATTCAAATAAATGAAGTAGTCGTGTAAATGACGTAGCAACATGACGGTAATATCATCGTGATAAGATAAGAAACATTCAACACATTTTCTTCTTGAATACACAAATTTTGTTTGACAAGTTTGTTTGTCACATCTTCAGAAGATGTAAGAGGAGTAGAGTTCGATTGTTGGTTTATCACCTTTAAACATCTAGTCATGTCAACTCGATGTCCAACTGATGTCAAGTTGGTGTTTTGAAAGTTCACTACTGAAGATCAATAATCAGTGTAGACTAAGACTATGTAGAACTTGTATTGCAAACTAGCTGTTATCCACTACTTCTATTCTACCAATTAAGCCAGCTCCACTGATAGATGCTTACATGTCTACACACTCAGTTGGCAATAATATGAATGTGGTAATCACAGATCTCGAATTGTAGTCGAAACACGTTGTTTTGTGTGAGATAATCAGTTTGGCTGTAACATGGACACGTCTCGATCGGTGCCGTTTCCGATTTTCGGTTTATTGTTGATGCAATGTTGTCACCGTTAAAACCAGGTCGAATGAGAGTGGGAACTCTGTCGACTGTATTTTGTTTGTCGTTTTGGTCGTAACAGTTTCAGTATTTCTCATTGAAATTTCGTGAACATTCGTTCTTCCTTAGACGTGATCTCACTCTCATTAGTTGAGCTTCCTGTGTGAGTATCTGTAGTACTATGCTCTCTGATCTGTGATATGGAGTTTTTGTAAGTTCCATGTAGTAACTATTTGGAAGAACAATGTTGAAGTGTAGATCAACTGCACTCCTTGTGTCTATTCAATAAACTGAACATCGAATGTGCCACACTGTTTACTGAATTACGATAAACATACACTGCAAATGATCTTCTTCTACACGTTGTACGAGTCCTTCGAGCTCTGATACTGGTAGAAGTGGGAGGTCAGAATTCACAGAAATATGTCTGTGGTTTGAAGAAGATGTATTTTTGTGAGCAAGGATGTTGTGTCAAGAGAAACAATCGATTCATCAGAAATGATTATCTGATTCGTTCTGTGAACAGACTGAAAACAGCTTGTTAATATACAGGATTAGCTAATCGATGACAAACCGGTTACAATCACTCTGATAGACAGTGTGTGAAATTGTGTTCATGTGAATCGGAGACGTATATGAATCCCTATTCGACCTTACATTTGTGAAATGGTGAAAACTGAGGTTCTGTAATAGTGTCACGTGTTGTTTGCACAAAATTCTCGACTGTGTTGTAGGTGACATCATGTGGCGGATGACGACGTCAACCAGTTGGATTTCAACTGGTTCTTCGTCTTGTTCCTCTTTTTTCCTTTTTCTCCTATTCCCACTCTAATAGCAAATATTTCAGTTTCTCAAATGAATGCTCCGATTGTATTACTGTATCTTTCCTGTTTTTAAGTGTATTGACGATGTGAGATCACAAGTGTAGCGATAGATCTCCATCACCTACTTGATACAGATTTACATTTAATGAGCTGCAAGTGAATTTCACTGGGTTTCCTCATAATATTTGGGTCCGGCCGCCCCTACCTTTCTTCCAACCTAGTACTATACCACTGAACATCGCATGTCGAGGCAGCACCATTCAATCTGTAGCAACATGTTGATTGCAATCACACACATCACATTGTAACTCATTCTCAATATTATTGATCATTATTATTGCTGTTGTCATTACTGTCATTACTCTCATTATTCCACAAACTGTTCGATTAATGGAACATACTCATCAATTTTAATACACACTTCATTTAGGACTCACCACACCGCAACAACAACAGCAGCAGCAGCAGCAAAAACAACTGCAAGGTAAGTAAAATGCATTCACACGTATCAAATATGACAGTCTTCTATTTTCATTCACTACAATAAACAATACTAAGTAATCAGTGTATATTTGAATCAATAAGAATTATCATGTCACACATTTACAACGATCAATACGATGAATCCACGAACTGTAAACGTTCAATTCACAACTACATGGAACAAGCATCAAGGTCCTCATGTCTGACAAACGAACGCATTGAGGAATATTGTTGTTAGATTTTTACAGAACGAGTGTTGATTATCAGATACCTGGAAACTGACAGACAGACAGACAGACATACAGACAGACGAATAAAATTCGTCCACACAATTCTGTCATTCATCATCAACAATCTAACACAATTCACAATGATGTTCATTCACTTGATTCATAAGTGATCATATCGTCAATTCGTCAGACGACTTCGTCCAACACATACTAGTACTGTGAATGTATAACATGCAGACTATTATTTTCATGAACCCATTGCGCGTTTTCGTTTAGGCATTACCATGTGACCTCAACTCCAAGGTAAGTACACAGTTCTACATGTAATAACATGATGGTGTATTGTTCCATTTCTACTCAAATAACCATCAATCAAACAGTGTAGTTACATCAACAATAATTGATATGTTGAGAAGAAGCTATTGGTGAAGCAGAACTAGCTGTTCGAATTTGAACTGTGTTCAATAAACTATAAGAATTTCCAATTCTCAACATCACACAGATTAGATGTGATGTGATGTGTCAATGATGCATCAGTGAATGAGTGTCACTGAACAGACAGCTATCAACAATGAACATAAGTTTATTCTCCCATGCTTTCAATTCATTTCCAATTTACATATAAACTTGATTGACACAGACAGTCATATGATGTCGATTTACTTTCATGCTTACACATCTCGTTTGAGCATTGTGATACTTGATTTTCTTCGTTTCACTGAGTATATGTCTATTTGCTTAAAATTTCATGTAGCTAACTTTCTACTTTTGATTGGATAATTTAATTTTTTAGTTGTTTATTTATCATCACCATTCTGTTGCGTTCCTTTGTAATTCAAGGGAGTTTTACGTGTATTCGGAAAGTTCATTCTGTTGACATTTTGAATAAACAGTATGATCTTCTTGTCTCATCGACTCAACACAGAATGATCGGTTATATTTTTCTCTTAAGACAACTAGGACCCATTATAAAATGATTGATAACCAATCAACATTTAACTTTAATCCATGCAACTCTTAGGTTCCCCTTCGTCACTTCTTTTTGCACATTTCAAGAGGTATTTTTTTACTTGCTTTGTCACATTAATACATATTGATAACATCGATAGGATTTAGTTAACAGTCTTTATATTGTTAGTGAATAACACGACATACTTCTCCATGATTGTTATGGTTATTATCACATTTGTTTTAGCCACACTACTAAAGCGGTACAAAAGAAGTAAGTGTTATTAATAAATAAAGTGTAAATAGTATACATGCACTTAGTTGACTGTCTATACAACACATGACACAATTGTATGTATAAAATCAAATTTTCTCAAGTTCCTCTGAACTAGTTCAATTGTAATATCTGCAAATTCACTGTTAGGTGATGTAGATGACAATTTCTATCAAGATATCAGTCAAGTTCAGTTCGTAAACATACTCCATCATCAACTATGTTGGTGGAGTTTAGTTCTATGAGTTGGATGGTTGAGTTATAAAACTTTCATTGTTTTTTTCGGAAAAAAACATCAGAACAAATTTATGGTAAATTTAGATCATTGAAATTTAGAAATTCCATCAAAATCAGTCACTTCAGCTACAAATCTTCTCCATCACTTCATCATTATGAATAGATTCATGCAAACGCATCAATCAACTTCAATCATCCAAAGTAGTTTATAAAGATATTGAAACACTATTTGCAGCGATCATGTCTCAGGTCTTACAATCAGTATTACTTCGTAATTATTAGTGTTATGATGTGAACTCGTATACTACTTGTTTTCTTTTATTGGGAGGAGATAGTACAGATTGACTTTCATATTGTTATAGCTGGAGGTTAGATTCTTGACATACCGCGTACAACTCGAGCACTCAGGTGGTCGATTCCTCTAAGTCACAAATGAGAAGACAGAAGACAAGTGAAAGGAATGCTATTCTAAACACTGTCAAATATGGTACAAAATCCTCAGTTATTTAAAGTTTCTAGTTAAAACGAAATCATCATTATCGTCATCCAATCTGCATACAGAGGGTTTTAACATTTGTCCAAAAGGGAAGCTACACATTAAGATTCTGGAATATTCTTCCGAAAGATGATTAAATGGAATATCTTCGGCACTTTATGAGATTCTTAAAGATTCCTTGAGTTCATTCATTGACCGTTCTCATACATATATTTATCAGTATCTTTAACAAGTTCATTTTTATCGTTGGTATTTCTTAATGATAGATCCCATTTGGTTTACTATTCAAAATCAGCAATCACTTGTGATAATTAGAATTAGTTAAATTATAGTATGAACTAAGAATCCCAGAGATACCGTAATCGGATCAAGAAGTACTAGATAATCACAAACGAATGTACTGTATTTAGAATTCGAAATCAAGCATTCAACAAGTACAAAGGAATCATTCAAGCACCACACCACTCTATGAATATTTCATCTTAGTATGGGGTCTTTTCAGAGTAATTCACGTCATCTAAGGTTAACTCATGGCAAATACCATCTGTAAATTAAACGAATACCTACTCACGTATATACCATATGTATAATTAAGTATCTGGAATATGAATCTATTTCTTTCTTTTAGATGTTTAAAGAAAATGAAACCAAACGAGTAAGTAGAGTAAAATGATTGACAAATAATATAATAAAGATTCTTTTCATTCATTCTATTAGAGGAAATCAACAAGGGAAAACAACATGCCGTCGAGTGCTTCCAGGTTTTCCACGGTGGTCTAGCTTCAATTGACTAATGGTTTCAATCTGTGTAATTTGAAAAAAGCCTAAAACGTTTTACGTTATAAGTATAGATGTCATCTGTATCAATTTTTGGTTTACGCAGTAGTAGTATTCACCTTGAATTATGTAACATAACTGAAGGGGATATTCAATCATTCAATATGGTGACAATCTATAATAACTTTTATTTTTATATTGTTAGACGATTGGATTTAATTCTTCTCATTGATGAACCTTCGTATGAATATATAGATATCTTCAGTCATTTGTATCGATTGTTTGAATCTTCAAAATGATGTTTAAGACTATCATTTATCAATTTCTTTTTGGTATATGTTCATCTTATGCGGATTGCCACGATATTGTCATTCTGTCAGGAGTATTAAAAACAGAAACAAGGGGTGGCTAGCAGCAGAATTTACGAAGCGAGTTTTGTCCTGTTTCGAACTAGTCAGCTAGATGTACATGCATTAAACTATTTAAGCTTAGATACCATCAATAAATAACTTTGGTTTTGTTATATTCCATCAGATTAAATAGATTTCTCTGCAGCATCAACTTTGAAAAACAGTAGCTTTTTTACATTCAGTTAGAAAAGCTTCCTGTTTGATGAGATTATACAGTGACTCAGATGAGAAGTTTTGTCCCGAATAATCGTTAAACCAGCGCGAAACATATATCCACGGCATATAACCGATAGTCAACAATCTCTCAATATCAGTTGAAGTGAACTGAAATATGAAGTCATTCAATCTAATGGACACATCCCAAATCCATCGGTAACGTTTGAGTGGCCTTCATATTGTTAATTATTAACGCCACATTATTTATTTATTAGGGATCAAACAGCATAGAAACAATTTCAAATGATTATTGTTTAATTATCATATTATGGGAGAGGATAAACCAGCTTCCAGTGAAAGAGGAAATTAGGAAAAGATGTTGGAAGTAAATAGTATATACATTGAAGAAATCATTAAACTGCATCACGAAGCAAGTGCTAACTTGAACTCCTGAAGGGTAGCGGAAAAGAGGAAGGCAGAAGAACACACTACTTTGGGAAATAAAAGCAGACATGAAAAAGATAAATAGCAACTGGAAAACATTACTCAGAACAGGGTTGGATGGGGAATGATGGTGGACAGCCTATGCTCCTCTACGAGGGGTAACAGGCGTAAGTAATCATATGAAAAATTCATTTTAGTAAAATATTCAAACTTTTATTACATTTCAGTTTGATGAACTTAATACTTGGCTTGATTCCTCGAATGTAAGTCAAATGATGTCCTTTGTGTAAAATATATATTTACTTCATATATTTTTGTGATCTTCAACTGATTCCATTGAAAAAAGAACTCAGTTGCACTGAATAGCAGTGCTTTTCAGAATGAGAGAATGTAAAACACTCCAAAACTGACGTCTTTAGAAAATGTAAACGTTAAGATGAATAGTGTCTAGCAGTGGAATCCATGACGAGCGTTTTTTCCTATTTGGGACTCGTTAGCTGGATGTACCTGTATCTCAGAGTTGATGTTCACTCTGGGACAATGAGAAGATATAAGTGAACAATACCAAGTGAATGTAAACGTTAGTTTTAGTGTTTGAATTTCCCTATTGGTGATATTATTCACTGCAATTAATCAGTCTCTTCTGCTAAATATGCATATACTAAATGAAATGCATTGATATTGACTTTAATTATAGGTCTTTAGTATAGTTGTACTGTATCCACTACTGAAATCCAGGACATGCGTTGAATTCTATTTCAGAATGGTTAGCTGGTACCTCACCATGTCAATGTTAACATTTACAACCAAATTTGAATTTGTTACCCGTTGCCTTGAACAACAATCCTTTATTCACTAAGTTACTGAATATTGATCGCTATGTAATTGTTCAGTGGGATATAAATTCATAAATACTAGTCTTAAATAAAAAACCGAAACAATTAGATTTCTCCATATAAGGCCGTGGAGATTGTTAGGTTTTTGATTTAGATCATGAATCGACTGATGTTGCTGAGGATTCCCATGCTAGGTCGAAACGGCCGTCCAGTACTCCCAGGTTTTCAATGGTAGTCTAACATCAATCGATTCATGATTTCGATCAAAAGCTAGATTTCTATTAAAATGTCCCTTTTGATGAACAAGTTATTGAAAATCCCTTTCTTACAGTTAATTCTTTATTGACAACTTCGGACGCCACTTCTACATAAGCGGCAAATCTATACTGTACAGTAAACCTTGTTACCTAAGGAGTGACCTTGAAATCAGCCAATGAGAAATAGTTATTCATAGTATAGCTTTTGCAAAAGAGCTATATAATGTGGAAGAGTAATAAAACTACACTAGATTAAACGTTTTTACACAACTGTGACTACCTTTCAATCACTTATGCTGTAAATCATAATATTGTAACGTGAATCAACCCCAAGTTTTATTACTAATTCTGTCAAAAGCTGATTACTAATCGTAAGCCCGTAAACTCTAACTCTTAACCGTAAAAGTTTATTTCACAAAAAAACGTCAGTAACCAATCCTTTTCAAATGAGAAGTGTGATCCAAATCATGATTTCTAAAGACAAGTCATCTTCAGTAGCATCTTAAATGTGCGTTAATACATAACATTAATTAGCTTGATCGATTAAAGCAATAAGTATAGCATAGTTCTACTGAAAAGCCAATGAAGTTATAGTGAAACAATAGTTTTGACATGATTAATTAGCTTTTAATTGTTGAATCATTCTTAATAGGAAAGGCAAAAAGATAAGGTTTATACATAAGAGAAGTCGGGCTGGTATTGTCAGTTATGACTGTAACCTTATTGTGTTTTCGTCACTAACTTCAAATTTACTATGATACTAAATAGTAAGAATGAGCATATTTTCCCTATTTTTTGTATGATCATAAACCTCCCATATATGGAATAGAAAGTTGAAATGCCCCCGCCTTCCAGCCAAACAAATTGGCGAAGCCTAGTAGGTTCTTCCGGAGAAGAAAAGGCCACATCGAAGCACGGCACAACTAGCGGAGCTAGAATAGCTGTTTTGCAACCGGTCGGAGTTTGCCCCGTAAGAAGCGACCCCGTACACTACATGCACCACTTTTGTCAGTTTTTTTGTGGTTTTTCCATCCAAGAGTAATTGTGCTGTGTTTCTTTGTGGAGTTCGCAGTCGGTTTGAGGGTAACGGTCGAGTGGGTTGATTAGCCCGATCTCTACTACCCGGGTTACCACTCACGTTAGTTCTTCGGTCATCCGTCCCACTATCCAGGAGGCATGACGCAGACGTGTGAGCCGGATTCTGCCTTCCAAAATTGAAATGACAGAAATGTAAGGTAATTGATAGTCTCGTTATTAAATACAATATTTATGATATGTGATGTATGTTTGTGTATTTACTTTAGAAAAACAATTGAATTCGCAGAAAACGAGTACGTGATTTAAAAATAAATATACAATTTACGCATAATATAATTGTTATTATTCTTTGATATTACGAACCAATCAAGGTTAGACAATTATTGAAAAGTTGAAGGCATCTTTCTGATAACCCAAAATCGACAACAATCGTAATCACAGAGGATTGGACAGTTATTTCTCCGTAGTGTGAGACTACTCTGTAGTATGCATCTTCGACTCAAACCAATGATCTTAAGTTCAGTACTTCCTAAATGTCATCAGTTCTCAGACTAAGAGATCAGTACTTGACATAAACTATAAAAATTCATCAATCTTCATAAAGCGTATATACTAATAGTAATCCTGTGCTCGTTAGTGATTAACTTTAAAATGTAGTTCCAGTGAAAGATCATGATCAATGCAATTCAAACAAGTCGAGTATGAGATAATCATCCACTAGAGACAATGAACATTCATAGCGTAATACTATAAAATGATCATTTTTTTTGAAAACTATATCCAATCATCATCTACCGTCAGATATCAAAAGTAATAAGTGATTTCTTTTTCCTTTTAGAAATCTTCAAAAGCTTGCAGAACTTTTCGAGGAATTATTCAAACATTAAATGAATGTACAACGCTCTTTTTTAACGAAAATACCAGTTAAAGCGAAATTTTCTTAATACACTATCAATTCATCATTCAATAATTTGTTTTTGATAATGATAATAATAATTCACTTGATATTGTTTGGCTTGTATCTTCCCATTGAGGTTTAAGACTGCAATTGATCAGTCTGTTATCGGCATATGTGCATGCTGTGCGCATTACCTCGATATTGCCTTAATTCACAAGCTTTTTGTAAGCAATGATGGATAGTGGCTAGCAGTGGAATCCAGGACGCGCTTTACGTCCTATTTGGAACTCGTCAGTTGGATGTACCTGCATCTCACAGAGTTGATGTTCGCTGTGGGACTCGAACCCAGTACCATTCGCTTCAAACGCCACTATCCATCATTGCTTACAAAAAGATAATAATAATGTTTCATAATACCTAAACTGTTGTTCTGCTTTATAACCAGTTGATTAACAATGAACTTGCCTCAATTATCTGCATAGAAATAACCAATTAGCATCATTTCGGCTAAAAAAACAAAGTGAATAAGGCTAATCTGCTTTTACAATTTATACCACCGACTGTATTTAGATAGACCATTTGTGAAAAACCCCACTAAGCAAAACAGCTTCTAAGTTTTAGCATGGAGTTTTTCATCTGTAACCTTTCGCTGTTTTATTTTTATCCGGTAATATAAGTGAGATAAACTTAAGTGAACACAGTTTTTTTAAAAACTTAATTTATCACTGAAAAACTGGTCTGTTTTTATCACTTTATTACACGTTAATAGCGAGACTATCAAGAAGAAATTGCTCTTTATGATAAACATTCAAAATGTGATTCCAGTTCATCTGTATAATTAATAGAGATTGGCTGAAATTAAACACTAACACAGTTAGATACCGGCCGGATCAGTGGTCTAGAGGTTAAGCGTTCGTGCGCGAGATCGATAGGTCCTCGCTTCGAATCTCGTGGGGGGGGGCAGGATCGTGGATGCGCACTGTTGAATAGTTGCATACTAGGATAAAACGGCCGTTCAGTGCTCCATATTTTCCATGGTGGTCTAGCATCAACTGATTCATAGATTTAATCATTAAATTAATCAAGATAACTTTATCGACTAATCAGTATCATTTGGTACATAAATCAATAAATAGCGTCCCGATGTGTCATTATTTGTAATACTGAATGATACATATTCAAGTCTAACCAAGCAGTGTTTCATTACCAGGATTTACGATAGGTGTCTTACATAATAAGTCTAAGTGAAATAAGGTAACCGATACTCACGAATGTCGTACAGTTGTTTCTCTTAAAATCAGTCAGATTGACCACTTACTAGTTTTGCACGACCAGTATATATTGTCTTTCTTGGGTCTCTCAACATTGGAAATGGCTTATATTGTATCTTTCCGACGTTCTGTAATAGTTTCAGAATAGGACGACATTTGATAGTGAATTTTTTGACATCAGTCAGTAACTGGTTCACACTCAACATAATTGATATCTAATGATAACGATTTCTCACTAGAACCTCTAGAATTACCTCTGAAAATCAGCACATGATCATTATCAGTGATGGAAACTATATAATTCAATAATCTCCACAAACTTTTTACACTCACAACTGATTCCTTGTCCATTTATCTTAATTTATATTTTAACTCATGTACCATCATCAACATCTATCTGGTCACAAAACGTAACACCAATAACAATTACATTGAAAGACTATGAAACTATCGTTGTAATGAAGATAAGAGATTCATGAATGAATGCTCTATAAGGTATAATTTAAATTAAATACAAACAAGACAGATTTTTATAGTCAAGTTAACTGTCCTAGGATTTTGGAATATTACCATTTTTCATTAAACAGTAAAAGGAGAGCAGAAATCTGGAAGCATTAGACGGCTGTTCCGTCCTGATGTAGGACTCCTCAGCAGCGTGCATTAACGATCCCTAAAACTGGAATCGTGGAGAACAAATTATTTCATTTAACCATTTCTGTATGCGTTTATTAATTTATCGGTTCATGTGAAGCCAGATATATAAACCGTTCAACGTTTATTTTACCTACAAGTATTCGAGAACATTACATCACTTGGTTGAAATTGCTTAATAAAAAGTCCAATAATCGAAAAACTTGTAACCACAGGTCATTCGATCAAAGCGGAATCTATGTTCAATGTCATCTACAAGGTGTGTAGAAAGCTGCCAAAGGTAGTTATATTCTGTTTTCTTACTATTGCTGAAGCACTAGATATACATCTGGAAAAACCAGAATTATGTATCCAAAGGAAACTGATACAACCTCTCCCTCCACCGTGGTCTTAATCTCTCGTAATTTTCTCCCTTCACAACTATTTGCTTCCCTTCTATCTTCTCTATAGACCTTTTGCACGCAACTGATCTGTTTTTGTTTCTATGATCTTCCTGATTACAGTTTATCTGAATTTCGACATTTTATCTTATCACGCCGGGCCTTCCCTTATCAAGTATAAGTTCCTTATTTATCATCATAATGTAAATGTATCCACGCCATGCCACAAAAGGTCTCTAACCACTGGTTAAAATAATCACGTGGAATTCTTATGGTACTACTTCATCACTCTATCATCTTGCCCAAAAAGGTAGAATTTGTATGTTACTTTTGATGGATTAAAACATCTAATATCCAAGGATATAGTAACACAGAAAACCATAGTTTCCCCCATTAGTATGATGTCTACAATAATGAGAGTATCTTATGGATTGACTAGTTTCAAGACAGATACAGTTTGAATATTCTACAATGAATGCGGTCAATTGTCACTTTCTGTTTCAACATAAATATTGTAGATCAGTGAGTGTGGTTGGGTTTTCGGACATGAACCAATACACTATGTTTAAGATCAAGGAAAAGACGATCTGACTTCAATATAAGTCGTATTTATGCACAATCTACATGAGTTCAAATCAGACTATTGTGTTTGAAATCTAGACTAAATCGTTCATTACATAACTTTGCCCGTCAAAATGCAGTTAACTACTTTTTTTTCATGCTTCATATCCTAATCTATTCAGACCTAAAATAAACACGAATTAAACCTTCAGTAACGACCAGGTCAATAAGACACATTAATGAGTATATTAAGTCTGAATTTTCATATTACAGACAGACTTTGATGGGATAACCATTTTATCATACTGTGAGACTGCTAAACAGTTTATTCACAACTCCAACGAAGATAGAATGCAGAATCTTCAAATCATTGAGTTATGGTTCAACGATTTATATTTCTAACTTTAATCAACTCATAATATTTTATGAGCATCATTCATTGAAATTAGTGACATGTTGTCTTACATACAACACAGTTAAACTCCACTGTTTATAACTCCTCATAAGAACTTCAAGAATTATTTCTCTATGTTCGTCATCAGTAAACACAAAATGATTGTTATTAGATGGTGACAACAATGTAACCAAAAATAGTAACCTGCATTATCACCGTTATATTTCACATGAAAAAATGATAACCAGAACATCAACCATACTGACGAAAATAGTAAAACAACAAAACGGATATATGTTTATTAGATTCTGTTAAGAATATTGTGGGAACGAGGCTTCTTCTTTCATGAAATCCTTGTGAACCAATCACAAAACATAAAGCATTACTACTCTATGAAGATTTACATTTTAATATTCTTTTCATTATTTCTTGAATTATCTCATTACGATTTGATAGATCAATCTGAAAGTAAGAAAAAAAAATGCTTCTTTTCTTTTTGGTAGTGGAAATGTGTTCTATTGATACAAAATCAATAATATAACATTAGAAGAAAAGAAATTTAATGATATTGTATCTTGACAAATACGAGTTACATAGGTGAGACTATAATTTGTGAATGACCTTTGAGAGACGCTGAAGTGACCTGGGGAGTAGACATTTACTGATTAAGACTAAATGAAGGTTATAAAGTAGTTAGAATTTTCATTTGCAGTTGATGGTTAAGGTTAGGAATTAGATTTAGGGTTTTCATCATGAACTGATAACAGCTATAATGTCAAAATTCAGAACTTGTTATCTTATATCTGATTGGTTGAATCATAAATTATAGTCTCCCCATTACATATATACAATTTGTAGTGTCAGTTACTATATTAAGCCTATATATAAATTATTCTAGCTTCTTGGACAGGCTAATTTATTCCTTCTTCTCTAGTCACGTTTTAACCTTACTAATTATTCACTTATCAACCTTGACTGTTTATTATATGAGCGTATATATGTGTGTGTACACTTCACGTTCTATTCATCATGTATGCAGCTTATTTTTGTGTGATTATAAATATCGATTAACGCTTGCTTAAATGGAGTTGGCTTAAACGACTTCTTCCCTGAATGTCGTTTCGTTTCGTTTCACTCTCTTTTCTTCTCTTCATTCCTCTGAATGTCATTTATTGATCATATAAATAACTCAAATCTTTTGTCAGACTATAAGACTAATCGAAATAAAAGATCATATAAAACTCGATTCAATTCAATTTAATTAACTAAGAATTGATGCAAATGCATGACGTTAGTACTTTGTCATTCGTTTTTCCTTCTTTTGAACAGGACAAAATACGACATATCGGGTTGAATAGAAGAAATCAAGATCAGAAGTACGTGTAACTGGACTAGTAGTGCAATTTTCTTTCTTATTTTTTTGTGATTAAACTCGATTTGTGACGATTTTTTGATTAACAATTTGTCATTAAAGTTTTTAAATGGTAGGAAAAAGAAACCGATCAATGTTAGAATAACACTGAAAACCTGAAAGCATTGGCTAAAGCATGCTCAATGCATGATTGCTTTGGTGCACGCTGATTGGCTAATTCTTATCCAATCAGCGCTAGTCGATAGTTGGAGAATATTCTGGATTCTTCTTATGTAAAAACTATAAATATACCGACGTTTTCCCCTATTGTGCTTCCTACTGGCTTCTGACTTGCTATTTGGAATATAATCTTTTTCCTGTTCAACCGTGTTCTGATTTGGGGACTTGTCGAGTGAATCGGTGTCCGAGAATACTAAGCAATAGGAATAGCTGGGTCATTAACCGTAAGAAACCAGAGATTATAACAATTGATAGCCGCTTCATCCTAGCATAGGACTCCTCAGCAGTCCACGACTCCGCATGCAGGAATGAAACACAGGACATTCGGTCTCACGCGCGAACGCTTGGCTTCTTGACCACTGAGCCGGCGCATTCAGCAGTGTTAATATCTAACTTCGATCAATCTATAATCTTGCCCAAACCTTCATCGATCGCCTGAGGTAGACGACTCCCACACCCGACAAGGATAGGACTCCACTGGTCATGGCTTCTCACCAGAACTCTAAGAATTACCTAGAAAAGCTGGTCACTAGAGAGCACATGATAATTATAAGTATAAGGTGACCAGTGAAAATGAACCGTATCGAGTGTGGAAGGCGGTCGTGCAATATTGTGGATTGGTTAAAATCGGACATTGACGTAGTTGGATCCTGGCGGTCTAGAAGTTAAGCATTAGTGCGCGAGACCGAACGTTCTGGGTTCGAGTCCCGCGTGCGGAGTCGTAGATGCGTGGTGCTGAGTAATCCCATACTAGGACGAAACGACCATTCAGTGATTCCAGATCCCCAGTGGTAGTCTAACATCGATCGGTTGATAATCTCCATGAAATCTCAACAATCTCTACAACCCTATGCTGACAGAACTGATTCTTTTTTAAAACTAATGAAATTTACCACACAGGTGAATTACAGTGTAGAAATTTACGAGTAGAGTTCGATAAAAAAAACTATAACACAATTCTACCATCTATAAATCTGTCGGCACAGCAAGTGTGGTAAGTATATATAACCGTGAAAATAATACCATGGCGTATATGTCAAAATACCTAATAAATTATTTATGGACTTGGTGTAATTAACAAAGTCTTGGGTAAGGTAAATCAATTTATTGTATTATGCAAAATCACATAATGCATCTGTAAAATATGAAAACAATATAGTGAATACAACAATTGCAAAACTTCCTTAAATTGTCGCTTCCAAACTTCATCGTACTTCTATTTCTGTTGCTAATCCGACCGCTTTTGATTTTCTTTCTCATCTCTTCGTTTCCTTCTTCTAACAGTAAGAATCCTATTTCCAATTACCGATACATAGTATTAATATCTGCCAGTATAAGTAGAATATACCACAATGGTTATCAAGAAAAAATATCAATTTAAGCTGTTTTTACTTCCTAGTTGCAACTATGCACTCAAAAGTTCCATGTCGAATGCATTGAAACCATAAATATATACGTATATCATTTAAACAGTATTTCTAACTTACCTCTATTATTGAAGCCCCCTTCATTGAACAGATATGATCGACCAACGGAATACCACGTGTACCATCTTGTCTTTTCGGTGATGGTACAGTAGCCAAAAGAACAACTGTAGGATGTTTTATATCACGTTGACTATTTGTAGGTAAATTTGAAATTGATGAAATCAACTTTTCAATTAGATAAGTGAACTTTGATGAGCATAGCTCCATTTTACCAATTTCGTCAATGATACAGACTATTAAATCATTTTTTCTTACATTGTTATTGGAAGAAACGTTTTCCAAATTGTTTATAATAGACTGTTGATTATTATCATTTCCAATGAAGAAGATAGACCAAAAGAAAAGAGGAAACTTTGAGTCTTTTTCACTAGATAAAATACTAATTATCTATTTATACTACATAATTTAAAATCACTTTGTTACAATGACCATCATGAATTACCTCAATGAAATTAGCTGACCTGTAAACAAGGAATAGCCAAACTCTCAAACGATGATATATTTACTAGGTACTGACCAACACGAGGTTGATGTTGTACTTGTTGACTTGAATGGTTAATTAGGCGAGCTAATGAAGCTCTAGGATATGTTCGAGATGAATCGAATAGAACTACATCAAATCCAAAACGAGTAGACTTTCCTGAATAGAACTGTCGAACTTCTTCTGTCTTAAAACCAACCGCCTGTATACCATTTTAAGAAGCTCTTCAAAGACGTGAGAAACCAAAGTGGTTTTACCGATACCTGTCAAAAGATACAAATTTACTTACAACCAAGTACATGTAAATAGAATAGGAAAATAAATATTCACGTAACGCTGAATGAAAGTAACATGTTAAGATATAGAAAAAAGCGTCACAATATTTGAGTAATGTTCGGTACCCAATAAGACTAAAGCATCAATAAATGACAGTTATCAATAATAATAAGTAGGAACTATTTACAATTATCAACAGTAAAAGATGACATGGAGTTTCTGTGAGAAAAGATGTCTCAAATATATAGAAAAATTTAGCTCGAAAAATATCATTATTTTATGAAGACACAAAAGAACATAACAGTATTCGATAATTTGTATTATTCCAAACTAACCCATTCCTTCGGGAATACATTTCTTGGTCACTGGTAAGAGTGTGGAGTGATTATTTATTTCCTTGTGTATTCTAGTTTCTCTACATTCAATGTGTAAATTAACTTAAGTTTGAGGTTAAGAGTATGTATCGATGAATAATGCCACCCCCAAACCAAGTAGTGTAATAGGAACTTAATACTCGTTCTCAAACTTATGATTTGTGCTGAACCAAACTGACATCACAAAGGCGCCAAAGATGGCCCAGATTGGTATAAGCCGCTCTGGCTTTCACTATACGTGCGTTGATCTCATTACTCAGGCCACCACTAGCACTTATGCAGCGACCCAGATACACGAACGTCTCGACTACTTCTATCTGTTCACTACCCAGGGTGAGTACAGGATTAGAATCCTGCCAGTCTTGTAGAAGTACTTTGAACTTCGAAGGTGCAAAGCATATACCGTACCTACGGACATTGATTGCCAACTGATTAAGTGAGGATTGCATGCCTTGGGCATTATCGCACAGTAAAACAGTATCATCCGCATACTCAAGATTGAGAAGTCTTTCTCCAGGCAACAGATCCACACCTCCATTACTTACATCCATCAGAGCTGTTTCCAGAATGTCATCGATGGCAAAGTTGAGGAGGAATGGTGAGATTGGGCAACCCTGTATAACCCTACTGCTTGAATGGAGATAGGTGGTAGTATGCCCTCACTCTACCCGAGATGTTATTAAACTTCTCAGGCACACCCTTCTTCAACAGACAATCCCAGAGAACAGTCCTGTCAAACGAATCGAAGGCGACCCTGATGTCAAGAAACACTACGATTGTTGGCCTTTGAAAAGTATGGCGGTGTTCTAACATTTGGTGGAGGGTGAAGATATGATCAATACATCCTCGACCAGAACGAAAACCAGCCTGCTTCTCGCAAGTCAATCTTTCTCGGGTTTTGAACAACCTACGAAGTATGACGGAAGCCAATAGCTTGGACGAAATCGAAAATAGACTTATCCCTCGATAGTTGTTACGGGAACGACGTGAACCCTTTTTAAAGATAGGGACAACTATCGACTCATTCCATGACGTCGGTACACTCTCTAGTTCCTAGACCTTTGTAAACAACGCCGTCAGTTCCTTAGTCAGAAAGTCACCACCATCTTTAAAAAGAGCCGGAGGTAAGTCATCTGGGCCAGGTGATTTGTAGCGTTTCAAGAGTTGGAGTTCCTTGCGGGCTTCCGCCTCATTTGGTGGATCAGTCGCCACCGGCCATGGAGGGCAGGACAGTCTGACCGATGTTGCCCGAGCAGCAGGCCAGTTGAACTGCCTTTCGAAAAATTCTGCCTATCGTCCAAGATGTCGATGGTTGTTAGTGATTGGCATCCCATCATCCTCGCAGATTGTTTCACACACACCAGACTTCTTGCCGCCAGTGGCTCGGATGAGTTGGAACAGCTTCCGGTAATTACCAGATGCCGCTGCTGCTTCCAGTTCATTAGCACGCTTCGACCACCAGGCTTCTCGGTCCTTAAGCAAGCTTTTCTCAATTTCATTACGTAACATCCTTCGTTTGTGGTCAAACTCACGGTCACCCGGAGTAGACCGACAGGCTTCAATGAGCTGTAAGTAGCCTGAAGAAATCCAGTGCTTATAAGCGGGACGTTTCGCGAAGCCGCAAGCGGCTTTACTCACCATTGTCATGGCGTCATGCAATTGCAACCAGTGCTCATCTATACTTTTTGGTGGAATAGTAGCTAGCCTAGAAACTAGCTCGGTTCGATACTTACTAGCAACAGAAGTTGCAACCAGCTTGCTAACATCAATCCGTTGGTGGCGGTCACTTCGTTGTACACTGAAAAGTAAGGTAAGATTGGCGCAGACCAGAGTCCAGATAGGTACTCCAAAAGGAGCGGCAGTCTTGTACACAACCACGCCAGCGGTAGCCGATCGCGATATGATCAATCTGAGCCCAGGCTTGAGATGCAGAGGGAGGATACCAGGTGGCACGTCGACAATGACTGTGACGAAAACTAGTGCTAGCCAGAAACAGGTTGTGGTCTGTGCACAGTTGCAGTAGACGATCCCCATTATCTGTCCTGCGACCAACAAGTCCCTATCGGTCACCTAAACGATTCTCTTATGTGCCCATACGCCCAATCTGACCATTCAAGTCTCCGGCTAGTACTACGATATCTGTCGAACGCACTTTCTGGAGAACAGTTAAGTGGTGGCAGAATTCATGTTTGATTGCATCCGGGCTGCAATCTGTCGGGGCATAGGCGATGACAAAAAGACATCGTTTCTCACGACGACTACTACCAATCACAGAAGAAAATGATTGAGGCATCAGTACATCAACCTGTGCCCCCAAATGCCCTGGTACGGCCAAGAGTGGGGAGAGTCCGCTCTCCCTCTCGAAATGCTCTCACATGGCCACGCGTATATAGCCTCTGTCATGGAAGTCCTACTCATTGCCTTCTCGTGGCGGGGGTGTTGTTTACGAAAATGAGAGGACGAAAAGCGAATGTCCGGTGCTTTAACCGGATTACAAACCAATGGTGCACATGGGCTCCAGTATCCTGCGAGAACAAATGGCATATGAACCAATCATTGGTCACCGGCTACCATGGGACTGCATCTCCTCACGATGCTCCACTGCCTTGTGGATCAGACCTTCAGGTCAAAGGCTCGGGGTGTGACCCCCTAAGAAAACCACCTGCTTCGGTTTGGGCACCCATGCAGTATCACAGTCCTCACACACACCGAATGAGATTTGTGTGGCGCATATATATTTGGTGCCTCTTTGTACCAATATCTATATGTTGAAATAAATAAACAACATCAACCTGTATTTAGAAGCCGCGTTTTCAAAATAAACTGTACTTCTCACCCATAAGTTTCAAGTAAAAAAAGGAACCTTCACGTATCTAAAACAAACACTTATCATTTATTATATGTGTCTATATTAATTAGATAAATATGTTATATAAAGACATAATTTCAAATACATGAAGCCCATTAAAGCAATTGACACACACCTGGCCTCCCTGTAACTAGCAAAATATTAGACGTTGACATAGTGTGAGGGGTACCTGTTGAAGTTGAATAAATTCAAGCCTCCACACACTGGAAACGATTGTTTCTGGTTTAACTTGCACGTAACAGGTATCTCGTAAACTGAAAAATAAGAAGGCCATTACACTAACCACAAAAATGTATAATATAACTCCAATAGTGTATAAACAAATAGATAAATTCCGAACCGAGTAAAAATAATAAACGTTATAAAAATCCCACACAGATCAAGGTCTTATACAAACCGTATAAAAAATAAGAAAATCTAAGGCTATATTGATACACTATATAAAAATGAACAGATTCAGTTAATTCTATCCTAAGACATGTACTACTTCATGTGTGAGCTTATCCTGATAGCCTAAACTAATCATATTTGAAGCTGATAAAAAGAAAAAGCTTGAACAAAATGACACTAACAGATTTCGCCAGAACATAAAGAGGAAGTAAAACAGTTTAACCCCACTTTTTCCTCTTTTTTGAGCAACAGGAGAGTTGTCACGTAACTAGCATTTTTACACTAAAGTCATAAAACAGTGACAACTTTTAGGGAATTAATTTGTTCAAAAAATTTCTCTACAACCATAAAATGAATTTAACATAGTGCGTAAGCCAAAGCGCAAGATGTATGTGCTCGTGGTGCAGATTGTACGACATCGTAAAAGCCAGTAACAACTGTCAATACTACTGCCTGCTTTTGGTGTCTCTCTTATAGAGAAAGAGTGGAAGTATTAACAGGTGGTAAGATTGTGTAGCCTTTTTATTGTATTTTCTGTGATATGAACAGAAATACTCCTTGATTATTGGTATTTTAAACGGTTATTTATCTATTCGGTTTCGAGCTCCAGAACGGACTCTTCTAGTTATAATAACTCTAGCTTAGATGGTAGAGCACATAACGTTGTTTCGTATTGACTTCGGGGTTTTGTTGTCTTTGCCGCTAGCGACGCAACGCTAGATCGTGTCGGAACATATTTTACATAATTGGTAGATTTTATGTAAGGGGTATGACTATGTGTCAAGTCCAAAATCTTATCAGACATTCCGGTCAGATTCGTCAAGTCTAAAAGCTGGTTAGCAGCCTAAAAGATTTGCCTTACAGTTGTTGGCAAGCATTGCATCCGTATTTATTATTTTTAAAAAGTCATCGATTTTGCAAAATCCAACTAATTACTTCATCTGTCACAATAACTTGACCCGTTCCCTAGCTCTCACTGGTTCAGTGGATGTAGTTGTTTCCCATCTGATAAAGGTTTGTTGAATAATCTTTAACCTATTATAGGCTTTCGCACTGCGAGACTGTTTATGAAATTAGACACCTCTGCTGCAACTTATGTTAGTAGAATTTCCAATAAGTATATATTTTGAGGCCTGTGAGCGTACGTTGGGATGAAGAAATTGGACTTCAATTCATATACACAGGTTTCGTGTACTCAGTAGTGGTAAGTTCATCGAACTTAACTTAGTTAATCGATTCCTTGGTTTCAGTGTTTATAAGTTTGATAAATATACTCCGTTCCAAGAAAGTGCATGATCAAGTGAGCAAAAAATGTACCAAAGAAAAAACATGTCGAACGATCAGAATGTGAACTCAAATATATATATATATATATATATATATACACCACAAGAATAGATAAACATGATGACCACAATCGTTAGTATCACAGAAAATATGCCGACAAAGCCAGAAATTATGTCACGTCCCGCAAATTTTTTGAGTCATTTTTCCTGTCGGAAAACGTATCGATCAGACAGTAATGGCGACTGCTTGAACTAGTTGGGCTCCTAGTCGCTTCGTTCATATTCTGGACAACACTTCCGGCTAAAAAATTCCTAGTAGACACTAGAGCCGAAGTTAGTGCGATCCCAGTTACCTTAGCCAGGCAACCGATTGCCAAAACTGAAGAACTCTTTGAGTGCAACTAGTAAAACCGAGATAAAGATGTTTGAAAAACAACTGCCGACATTAAACAGATTTCTTTAAGAGATGCGTCATCAACTTTTTAAGAACTAATCAGTCCCATAACTCACATCCATTTAATAGTCATTGTAGCAGTTTGTCATTCGACGAGGAAATTTACTGGATAATCATTTACTCTAACTGATCTTATGCATCAGAAAAGGGCACATTGTCTATCAGGTCTAAAAGCGCTGCTGCGAATTCTGTGAGCGGACTTATTCACGATGTAACAATGAACAATGTTATTATTAATATACGAGAAATAAACGTTAACACTATAAACCGAACTGACTACATATAGGCACGGTTAAAACGTTAGAGCCGTTCGAATCTGCCCACCCTTTCTGTTCAACGACCTTGAACGGCCTGAGCAGAGGTAGTCATTCCGTATTTCAATTGTCGTGGGTTAGTTGGATTGCATGAGTATCACGTTTTTTTTTCATATATAAGGCATCTTATGTTGCATTAAAAAGCACAAAATAACTACCAAAAGTATTGATCTAGCATTCTGTTTTGTAGTGTACACGTTGGCTCTGTTGTTGC